GCTATATATTGCTCTTTGGCTACAAACCTGTGCAGTATCCAGGGGTGGGGAAATTGCAGCCTTCTGATTTTAAGATTGTTCTTTTATTAAGCACCAAAGGAGGCAAGAAAAGCTTTATTTTTCTCTGCTGCACCCCTTTTAATAAAAGGATTTGTTCTGTAAAATTTGGATTTAGTCAAAAGGCTGTACTTAAACACCAAGAAGGCCACAAGTGGCCTAAGACTACAGGTTCCTCACCTCTGTGCAGTATTATACCTTATGGGACCACCATCACATATGTGGATCCATCATTGACTAAAACATCATTATGTGGCACCTAACTGTATATGAGGAACTCAGCTCAATAGCAAGAAAACAACCCAGTTTAAAAATGGGCAAAGGGAAGGGTATGGTGGCTCATGCCTGTCATTCCAGCAACTCGGAAGGCTGAGGCAGGAGGATCACTTGAGGCTAGGAGTTTGAGACTAGCCTGGGCAACATGACAAGACCCTATCTTAAAAAAAAAATTATTTTTTAAATTAGCCAGGCATGGTGGTGCACACCTATAGTCCCAGCTACTTGGTGGCTGAGGTGGGAGGATCGCTTGAGGCCAGGAGTTCAAGGCTGCAGTGAGCTATGATCATGCCACTTGCATTCCAGACTGGGTGACAGAGTGAGATCCTCTCTCTCTAAAAAAAAAAAAAGAGCAAAGGACCTGCCTGAATAGACATTCTCAAAAGAAGACATACAAATGGCTAACAGGTATATGAAAAATGCTCAACATCACTATTCATCAGGGAAATGTAAATTAAAACTACAATGAGATATCACCTCACACCTGTTAAAATGACTGTTACCAAAAAGACAAAAGATAAGTTGAAAAGATATGTTGAAATGCTAATTATTTGATTAATCTCAGATATGTTACAATTTGAAAATAAAAGTTAAAATGTTTTATATTTGGAAAGAATACAAAATGAGGTGGAGAAAAGGGAACTTTTGTACAATGTTGTTGGAAATGTAAATTACTGAAGCCATTATGGAGAACAGTATGGAGATTGCTCAAAAAATTAAAAACAGAATTAATCACATGATCCAGCAATCCCACTATTAGGTATATATTCAAAGAAAATGAAATTAGTATGTTGAAGAGATATCTGCACTTCCATGTTTATTGTAGCTTTATTCACAATAGCTGAGATATGGAATCAACCTAAGTGTCCATCAACATATGAATGGATAAGACAATGCAGTATATATACACAACAGAATATTCTTCAGCTATAAAAAGGAAGGAAATTCTTCCATTTGCAACAACATGGATGAACCTTGAGAACATTATGTTAAGTGAAATAAAGTAGGTACAGAAAGACAAATTCATATGTGGAGTCTAAAAAAGTTGACCTCATAGAACTATAGAGTACAATGGTGGTTTCTAGGGACTGAGAAAGTTGGGGTTGGGGGGTTGGACAGATATTGGTCAAAGGATACAAAATTTCAGCTAGAGATAGGAGGAATAAGTTCAAGAGATCCATTGTACAGCATGGTGAGTAGAGTTAATATTTTATATTCTCGAAAAATGCTAAGAGAGTGGATGTTAAGTGTTTTCACCACAAAAATGATAACTATATGAGTAATGCATGTGTTATTAGCTGTATTTAGTCATTTTACAATGTATATGTACTTTATAACATCATGTTATATAGGATAAATACATATAATTTTATGTGTCAATTTATAAAAATAAAATAATAACATCCACATACCATACAACCATTAAAATTATGTAGCCATAGCTTTATTGAAATGGAAATAGATTCACATATAGGAAGTGGGGAAAAAAACAAATTACTAATCTTATTTTTATTTTAAAAAAAC